AGTTAACAATTTAACAACTTATCAAGCATTTATGAAATCCAGATGCAAGATACAAAAAGAAATGAGAAAGGATGTAAGCATTACAGAGATCACTGTCCAGTTAAAGAGATGGAAAACAAAAAACTAAAACTTTAATATTAGTGAGTAAGGAACTCAGTAAACATGTGGCGTTGTCAATTCTGCAACAGCCACGAGAGGAGGCCAGGTGTGACCAAGGTGCTAACGGAGTCACTTCTCACTCCTCACTCTTTACTTGGCTGCACTAATTGCCAAAATGCAAACTTCTAGCATCATCTTAAATAAGTTCATAGGCATACTGCATTGTGTGGTTTAGTCACACCCAGACCACAGCTGGGCTGTTCATACACACTGCATTGTGTGATTTAGTCACACCCAGACTACAGCTGGGCTGTTAATACACACTGCATTGTGTGGTTTAGTCACACCCAGACCACAGCTGGGCTGTTCACACACACTGCATTGTGTGATTTAGTCACACCCAGACTACAGCTGGGCTGTTAGTACACACTGCATTGTGTGATTTAGTCACACCCAGACCACAGCTGGGCTGTTCACACACACTGCATCGTGTGGTTTAGTCACACCCAGACTACAGCTGGGCTGTTCACACACACTGCATTGTGTGGCTTAGTCACACCCAGACCACAGCTGGGCTGTTCACACAGGTTAAATGAATTGGAAATTCAAAACCTGATTCACAAAGAGTCACATTAACTGAATTTTAAAGGCAGAGCTGCCACAGGACACTGATCAGACAGTTTAAGGATTTAAAGGAAGCAAAACAAGGACATACGAATGTAAGCAGAAAGGTCATTTGCTAAAACAACACCCATGTGACTGCACTTGCTATGTTTTGGGTCAACCACCCCGAACGCATCAACCCACCATTACACAACTTGTAACCACACGTTGTTCTGGATCCCACACAGCCCAAACCCGAGTCACCAAGCCGGCCGGGGAGACGCTCTTTTTATGCAAATCTAGTCTCTGGAGAAACCTGTATGATTTTCAGTCTTGCTGACTTTTTTCTTATTAGTCAAATTCATTTTGTGACAAGATTTTCTAAGTCAGATACTACTCAGTGAGTCACTTTATATGACAGGAAGGAAGTCATTGAACTTCATGGCCTCTGATGAGGGGGACAGACCCAGAGATATCTACATCTTATTTCAATAAACTTAAATGTCCATGTAACAGGTTAGGTTGTCTTTACTTTTAACATCAGCTAAGACATTTACTTTCCAAAGCCCTTTGGTCACTGCAATAAAACTACCATTTCACAGCGCCCTTTCACACTATCATGTGAGCAATACAGATAAGTGAACACAGCATGCCTCCTATTTCCTTATACTATTTCAAAGTCCAGCTCCATCAGTTAGACCCATAATACTGCCTAACAGTTTAAAGACTCACATCAAGACGGCAAGCAAGTCAGAGAGGCCAAGGCAACAGCACTCAAAAGCACAGTGTGTGAATCCACACATCCTCAGCCTTCTAACAGTTCAGCAAACACAAAGGTATTGGGAAACTTACTGCCAGCCTCACCAGAGAGCTCTGGGAATTGAATAAATGAGAGTCACATAGTTGGACCTAATAGCTCCCAGCTCACTCGAAGCTGCTGTGTGTGTGGGTTTTGTAGAACTGTAACAATGTCTATCTCCTAGGATGATGTGAGAGCTTTCCAGAAAGCTACATTGGTGGAAATTGGGCAAAATGCAAAAGGGAAATGTTAATTCTTTTTTGTTGTTGTTGTTTTTTGTTTTGTTTGTTGAGACAGGGTTTCTCTGTGTACTTTTGGTGCCTGTCCTGGATCTCGCTCTGTAGACCAGCGCTGGCCTCGAACTCAGAGATCTGTGTGCCTCTGCCTCCCAAGGACTGGGATTAAAGGCGTGTGCCACCACTGCCCAACGAATTCTTACAACTTCATGTGGAGACATAAATATCTCAATTAAAAAAGTACATTTTAAGCCAATAACCAGGGACGCAGAGCAATTTTTCATAGATTGTCATAAAATAGTGGCTGAGTTCCAAGGACCAGCTAACTGTCCACTGTGGAAGTTTATATCCCTTGGTGCTGAGTATAAATCTGCAGGGCTCAGGTTCTGCCTCCTCGCTGCTCTCCCTGTTCACTGCTCCCAACCCATTTCTCACTTGGTCACAGATTTGCTTTTATCTTCTCTTGGTGTGGAAACCCCATGTGGCTTCCTTCCCTGGGACAAGTCCAAAGCCCTCCCGTGACACAAACAGCTTCTCAGGACTCAAGTATCCAGGTTTGGACACGCCATCATCTCAGCTCTGTTCCTGGCTCAGCTAGCTGGTCTCTAGCTGCTCCCAGAATGAATGCCAGAGACCCACCTATCCTCACTTTTCATGGCACCAGACACCTCTTTTCCAAGGTTTCCGTGGTGGTCCAGCCCTTCTCAGAGCAAGGCCTCTTCTTCCTACTCCTGTTAATCCTGTTCAGTCATGTTTCCACAGTGAACTGGTGGACTGAGAGTCACAGGCTTTACACACAGGATGAGGTCATCCGCTATGTCCCCTCATGCCGTCAGTACCACCACACTTAGGCCCTAGCATTGGGAAGCACGGGAATGTTTGTTTAGAAAATAAATGGTGACTTTCAAATGAGCTTCTGTGATCACTGAGCCTATTACCTTGTGGTAAAATATGTCTATGGCAGAAATCAGTACAGCACTGGGAAAAAGAAGAGTTACTTTATGAGATTCTAAATCTTTAATGTATATAACAGTCACTGAAAGGGAGTTAGTTGGGAGATGATATGCAGAATGTATAACAGAAACAACAAGAAAATCAACCCACTGTCTGTCTCTGCTCAACAGAGGCTATTCTCAAGCATGAGCTACAGCCACCAACAATGAGAGGAGGGGAAGAAATGGCTGCCTCATATACTGGACATTACAGCCGTCCAGACTGCAAGCTGCAATCCGATACAACTATGGATCAGGAGACGCTGGGGTTGATTTAGATATCTTACTATACAACCACCCAAAGCTACATTAACTGGAAATGATGGGTCATAGAATAATCGGCTCTCATCTGTCTAAGACAATAGGTGAGGGAAGACAGGAGAGTACAAGCTTGAATGCTCTGGAAATATCTAGAATTTCTAGAATAACTTCAGCAAGCCCCCGGAGACTGGAAGTAGGGCTCTAATGCATCAAGATGATCTCATGGAATACTCCTTTGTTTTCTGAATGTTTACTATGGCATATAAAGTGTATATATTTTAAAATATCCTATCTTTAACAAGACTGTGTTAGAATCTCGGCATGCTTCTCATTCCTTTGCAGCCCCTGGAGAGGTGCAGAGCACGCCTCGGTCAGCAGCGGCACAGGTACAGCTCTCCCACACTCCTCAGACTCCGTTGACTTTAGGGGCTATGTTAGAAAAGCTGCCTATCCCGGGCAGCCCCCAGGACTGAGAACCTGATGGACACATGAAAACATGGAAGAGTGAAAAGCAGGTAAAGCATGTCCACTCATTTCTACTCAGCCCTGGCAGCTCACTGAAATGCCACTGAAAGAAACGAAGATGAAGACCAGCCAGAACAAAGAGAATGACTCAAAAGCTGGCGTCGGGTGACTTCTGCAGGAAGAGACAGCAGGCTGACCAAAGGTGTCTTCCAAAACCCACACAGAAGGTCAGTGGGGGCAAGAGAAGCATCAAGTAAGAAGACTAGTGGCAGGCACAGAGCACCGGTCATGGCAGTCAGTCCCAGGACAGACGAAAGAGACTCCAGGACCTCATGAACACAAAGCATTCTCCTCTGCACCACCTCACAGGACACGATTAGAGGCCCTGCTTCTGCACGGTGGAACCTGGGAAAGTCATGGAGGCAGGTACCCCGAACAACTAGTTGTAAGCCAGCCATCATGGGCACACTGAGACTGGAACCTGGGTCCCTGGCAAGAGCAGCCAAGTGCTCTTAACCACTGAACCATCTATCCAACCTCCATTAATAACTTTGCTTGTTTGGTTTTTGGAGACAGGCTTTCTCTATGTAGCACTGGCTGTCCTGTAACTCACTCTGTAGACTAGGCTGGCCTTGAACTCAGAGATCTACCTCCCAGAGTGCTGGGATTAAAGGTGTGTGCTACTACACTTGGCTAGAACTTTTTAAATTAAGGGAAGAAATCAGAAAACAGATTGGATGAAGATATAAAATGAGGGAAATCCTTTAGAAAAAGCCTTTCATTCTCTAAAAGTCCCCAGCATCATTCCACACTGTGTTCCATGTCCTGACATCCCAGGGTCAGAGGTTAAGGACAGAGGGAACTTACTCAAAACTAGAACTCTTCCTTAGGCAGCTGACTTTTAATCTACAGCAATAAAAACGGCACTGGCGTTCTGGAAGCAAACTTGCACACATAATATGCATTGTCCAGCAGACCACCTGATTCATCTAGAACGGTGGTTCTCAATCTGTGGGCTACAACCCCTTTGTGAACCCTCTATCTCCAAAAATGTTTACACTAGGATTCAGAACAATAACAAAATGGCAGTTATGAATTAGCAATGATGTAATTTTATGGTTGGGGGTCACCACAACATGAGGAACTGTATTAAAGGGTCGCAGCATTAGGAAGGCTGAGAACCACTGCTCTAGAAGAAACCTTATTCCCTAGGGACAATTATAAATATATATTCACAAAATTTTCTCTGTAAATTACATTTGATTAATAAATACTCTATGTTTCAAAGGCTTTTAAATTATAAATTGAAAAGAAAAATTTCAGGAACATGGAATGGTATAATTATGATTTTTTTTTAAATTACCACTAGGGAATAAATACTACTTAAGACCACAATGGAAGAAATAGTTTTATACATGAGAAGTAATTTAAAGAGAGCCTGGAATAAAATGTAACAGAAAAAACACAAATGCATTTAAAAAGCCTCAATAAAAGCAAACATGGAAAACATTAAGCGCAGGTCCCTACAGAGCGACCTCAAGTTACCTGCCAGGTAGAGGGCGAAGGATATAAACCTGTGGTAGCGAATGAGGAACTGCAGCTGCTCCTCCCTCTGAACAAACGTAGCAAAGTAATCCGCCACCGTCTCTCCATAGAAGAAGTAGTTCACACACAGGAGAAAGTACCTGCAATGTAAACCCATTAGCTTGCTGTGTCGGAATGCTTTCCCCCTCAAATGTGACAGAATCATTCCCTGCATTTTGACGGCAATACTAAGATCAAAATCAAATTCAGGTGATTAATCCAAAATACGCTCCACCAAAATGCTGTTTTCTCATTTTAAATTTAATTTCAAACCCATCAGCCAACAGCAACCAGCAATCCACCAAAGACAATCCCTGTGTTTAACTCAAAATACAGTATCAGAGATGACAACGTCAAAATAGAACAGAAGCACACACACACACACACACACACACACAGTGTTAAGTTTATAATGGACAGACAGATGCACACACACACGCACACACACACACACAGTGTTAAGTTTATAATGAACAGACAGATGCACACACACACACACACACACACAGTTAAGTTTATAATGAACAGACAGATGCACACACACACACACACACACACACACACACACCCTGTTAAGTTTATAATGGACAGACAGATGCACACACACACGCACATACACACACAGTGTTAAGTTTATAATGGACAGACAGATGCACACACACACGCACACACACACACAGTGTTAAGTTTATAATGAACAGACAGATGCACACACGCACACACACACACACACACAGTGTTAAGTTTATAATGGACAGACAGATGCACACACGCACACACACAGTGTTAAGTTTATAATGGACAGACAGATGCACACATGCCTTGTACACACATACACAGTGTTAAGTTTATAATGGACAGACAGATGCACACACACACGCACATACACACACAGTGTTAAGTTTATAATGAACAGACAGATGCACACACACACGCACATACACACACAGTGTTAAGTTTATAATGAACAGACAGATGCACACACACACGCACATACACACACAGTGTTAAGTTTATAATGGACAGACAGATGCACACACACACGCACATACACACACAGTGTTAAGTTTATAATGAACAGACAGATGCGCGCGCGCACACACACACACACACAGTGTTAAGTTTATAATGAACAGACAGATGCATACACGCACACACACAGTGTTAAGTTTATAATGGACAGACAGATGCACACACGCACACACACACACACAGTGTTAAGTTTATAATGAACAGACAGATGCACACACGCACACACACACACACACACAGTGTTAAGTTTATAATGGACAGACAGATGCACACACGCACACACACAGTGTTAAGTTTATAATGGACAGACAGATGCACACATGCCTTGTACACACATACACAGTGTTAAGTTTATAATGGACAGACAGATGCACACATGCCTTGTACACACACACACAGTGTTAAGTTTATAATGGACAGACAGATGCGCGCGCACGCACACACACAGTGTTAAGTTTATAATGAAAACTAACTCCTGGCTGCTCTGTGGTCTCATGATTGATAACTAACACTGAGGACACAGCCCCACCTCATGAAGCAAGTTAGGAGGGGAAGGAGGGAGAGGTGGCTGAGCATCTCCTCCCTGCCGCCACTGCCCTGCACATAGTTCTGATGTCTTTCTCTGTTCTTCTCAATGCCCAGAAAGACCCCGATTGAGCAGTGATTCTTCTTATTTTGATTTAATGTTTGTGTGCTTCCCATATATTTTATGAGAAATGGAGAAAAGTGCTAGGATAAAAATACCCCTTATCAATATCAGCCCTAACCCTCCACTTTCCCATCTCTAGGATCTTACCACCTATCTCAGGCTGGCCTTGACTTCACAGGCTGGCCTTGACCTCCCAGGCTGGCCTTAACCTCCCAGGCGGGCCTTGACTTCTCGGTCCTCCTGCCTCAGACAATCAGCAATTGAGCCAGTTGCTGTGGTTTGGATCCCAGAACCAGGGTCACAGTCACGAGCCACCACACTCAGGTTAGGAACTACTTAGACTATTCTAGGCCCCAAAGGTAAGATACATCTGTCTTAGGAAGACAGTGACTACTTGTAGCGCCATGTTTCCTACTCAAGGTCTTGACAGCAATGAGTGCCTGAAATGTTTAAAAAAATACATAAGGCAAACTTTATACATATATGTACATATCAAATATATTGCATTCTCTCGTCAATTGGGGGAAAAAAAGATAAGAAAGCTTTTCATAAAATTATGGCCAGGAAGAAAATAAAATGGCAAATATATGAATCATTAATTAGATGTCATTACAAAGACTGAAATGCAAGCTTGCAGAAGGTTGTGCTGGTGGAGGAGCGAAGGTTGTTTTCTTTACAAATACAGTTCCAGCGTGCTTCTCTTTCTCCAAAATCATTCTGCAATTTAAACATTTAGAAATGAATCAGATTTGCATAACCAGAGCAGTTCACAGTCACTCACCAACTCAGTGTTCTAAACCATGGAAGGTCATAGGAATGGTAGACTCTGTACCCAATGGTGATGATCTCGTGGAAGCATTTCACTTGGATGCCCAGAACCTGCAAATAAGACGAGGTAGCGTGAGTTCCAGTGTTTAGTAAGTTCCAGTGTTTACGTTTGTGCTGTGTTACTTTAAAGCAACAATTCTAATCTACCAACTCCTACTGACTCTAAATGGCAACAGCAAAGAGGCAACATTCACTCTTCCAAGGGAAACCATGCCTAATGGGGCAGCAAAGGGATATTTAGATGAAGGCCTGAGATCTTCCCAGGAGAGCCAGGAGCAGCATCTCCTTGGGCAGTTGGGTGGGCCTTATCCATTTATTTTTATTATTTATTTCCATGTATTCACAATTTCTCAAGATGGATACTCTTTTTTGAGATGGTGTCTCACACTGCAGCTCACTTTCTCAGCCTCCTGTGTTACAATGACAGGTATGACATGTCATTTCTGTCACTTGGATTACTATAGGAAAAAGCTGGCTTAGAGAAGTCTGCTTGTATATATGTATCTTTAATCACATGTTCCAGCACACTTAGAAAGATGGTGGTATGGACCTTTAATCTTGGCACACAAGAGGCAGGGCAGCAGATCTCTGAGTTCAAGGTTCTCCTGGTCTCTACATAAGTGAGGTCCAGGCCAGCCACAGCCAAATAGTGAGACTCTGAATAATGACATCATCTCCCACCTTCCTTCTCAGAGCTGAGCAGACTATCCTACAGCCGGCAACAGCTCTGGTCAGTGTGAGCAGTCACCATCCGTCTGGCACACGTGCACACTTTGCCCAGACAACAACCTTGGTGGAGTTTCGTTTGCAAGGTGTCCTTGTGTTCATGAGGTGATGCTCTGCTCATGGCCCTTCCCAGTGACAAACCCACGGATCTAGGTGCAGCTTCAACATCTTACTCAAGCTTGGCCAATCCCAAGACTCAAACAGCACGATGAAAACCTCTGAACCAAAAGGGAGAGTCTTGGTGAATACTGCAAATTATTTTCCTTCCTCTCGACAGCACAGCCAAGGGCTTGTGACTGTGCAATCTTGTACAAGAATAAGACTTTTATAAGCTTAAAGAGTTTAAAAATCAAAGATTATAACAGACCAATTTGCAGCTTAGAATCTAAAATACTACTATTTGGCCTTTCACTGAAAAAGGTTTCTGACTTCGTGTTTGAAGGTTTGTATTTCTGAACATTTCTTGCGGTCTGGGGAAATGAGTCAGTGGACAGAGTGACACACTGCTCAAGCATGAGGACCTAAGTTGACTTGCAAGAAGTTCAAACCCCAGCACGGGGGGGGGGGGGGGGGTGGGGGGGGGTGCAGACAATAGGCACATGCCAGGGCTCACGGCCAGAAGGCTAACGGAGCATCAAGCTCCACCTCAGTGAAAGGGCTCTGTCTCAAAAGAGACGGCGCAGAGACAGACCGACACTCGACAGCAATCCTCTGCCTCCAGGATGCACACACAGGAAAGTGCACACACAAACATGCACACATGAGAGAGGAGAGAGACAGAGACAGAGAGATTTCTATAAACTAGCCTTTTCAAATCTGTCTTTCAGGACATTTTTAAGCTATTCTACCATCACATATTTATTACATGTCCAATCATATACTTTAAAAAAGTAAATGTTCTCTTTTGCCACATAATAAAGAAGTATTTATTATACCAAAGTACAAGAAGTACTGGTAGCACAAGTCATTAGTGTATTACAAAAACAAAGAAGATTTAAAGGTCATTCTTCAAATAACCTTTGTGTAAATATGAAATAAAAGGTTATTTTCACATCAATAATCACAGCATGGGGACAAAGTTCAGTGTTAAGACAAAATGGCAAACCACACCGTTTACAGAACACAGAGTTTTTAAAATATCAAGTGTAGTTAGTGATGCAATCTCTAAGAACACACCCACTCAGCACTGCACCATTTACTGAGAGGAGGAAAGGAGGGGCTTTATTCAACAGCTACGTTATCTGTGTGCTTATCATTACAGCTTGCAAGGAGAATACAGAATGTCTGGGAAAACCAAAAATAAGGAATTCAAAACACTAGAGTCAAAACTCTTTAAAATATATTTATAGTATTAAGGACTAGGAGATTACACAGAAATTGATACATCATGCCACTGATACTGGTAGACATAAACAATGAAAGAACTTCACTGGTCCAATTAATGTGTTTAAGAGCCTTAAAAACAAGAGCCAATTCTTTAGCATCCCACTTCACTAGCCATGAGGACTCCTGGAAATGCTTCTGGGCATTTGCTCTCAGACAGTCTGTGAAGAAGCATGTGACTCTAATGGCATGTGGAAATAACCACACACACCTGTAGTGGGGGACAGATGGGCAGCGGCAGCACCAAGGCACAAAAATAGGCAGTCGGTATGTCTCACATGACTGAGGCACTTTAGGGTATGTCTCGGATGACTGCGGCACGTTGGGGTATGTCTTGGATGACTGAGGCATGTTAGGGTATGTCTCGGATGACTGAGGAACGTTGGGGTATGTTTCGGATGACTGAGGCACGTGAGGGTATGGATAAGTAGTTCAGAGCTGTGAGGATACACAGTGGTGGACGGTAGCAGAGGAATGACATGAGAAGATGAATATTTGGGACAATGGGGCGGGGGTGGGGGCACTAATGAATAGCAAGGTGGCAAAAGCAGGCGGTAGTTCAGGCTAGGTGACAGGACTGAACCAGCAGAGTGTCACAGGGGACATGGAGAAACTAGTCAGTGATGACGGAAACTGGGAATGCGTCGCCTGACAAAAACAGCATACAAGAATTTATTTCAAAGGTTTTAGTTCAGACTTTTGGGGATATGTGGTGAGGTAGAACATCGAGATGGGGGGTGGAACAGAGCCGTTCACTCCAGCAGGCCAGGCCCAGAATGAGACACAAGAGACAAGATACAGCGCCAACAGCTGCTCTGCCTACCTCCTCCAGCCAGCCCACCTTTCAAAGTTTCCACAGCTCCGGACAAGGCCATCAGCCGGGATCCCTGATTAGGTCAGACCCCTGGTGATCACTCACTCTCAATGATTAGATCACCAGGTGGGAACCAAACCTTCAAGTAGGAGCCTTTTAGGGGACATTAAACCATAACAGAAGGGCTAAGGATGAGGAGGGAACACAGAGTAGAAAGGAAAGCCTGGAACGACGGATTTATGCAGGACAGCTGGGGGTCACACAGGACTATGGGTTATACAAACAAAAATGCCTATTTTTATTTTAGGAACCTATTTTAAGAAGATAATCTGATTTATTAAATCAGAACTTATTTGTGCTCAAATATGTTCAAAATTAAAGATGTTCTCATTAAAGAAATAGAGCATAACCCGATTGTTTAAAAATAGCACAGCGACTTAAGAAAGACAATGCTTCACGTTCCATTATATAGCAGAAAAGGTTAAAAAAAAAAACCCTAAATACTTTAGGCAGGTTATGATTCTCTTTTAAAAATCAGGATCCAACTGAGCATGGTGCACACACCTGGGACCCCAGCACTGTGGCGGCTGCAGGATTGCAAGTTCAAGGCCAGCGGGGGCCATAAAGTGAGATGACCATCTCTAAGAGTTCTGAACTTCATCATGGAAAAGCAGTCTGGCCCTTCTTGGGAGGATCACCATCCCCTGACTTCCTGACTGAAGAAATTTTTTTATTGTGACTAATTTTACTTTCAAATGTACTTTTAATAAAAGGAAACCACACCAGGTTGCTGATAATCACACCATTCTCAGCAGGACACGGGAGTAAAAGACAGGAAGGTGGGTAGATAGATGCGTCGTGCTCTCCTGTAGGCAGGAGACCAGGAGGGTGAATACATGGAAGAGGCTGAATGAGCTGAGCTGAGCTGAAGAAAGCAACGGAGTAGAAAAGGTAGAGTCCGCCACAGCCGCCTGGTACACAAGTGTGTCCCCAGAGGGCAGGTGCCACGGTGGGAGCAGTGGTCACAGCCGCCTGGTACACAAGGGTGTCCCCGGAGGGCAGGTGCCACGGTGGGAGCAGTGGTCACAGCCACCTGGTACACAAGGGTGTCCCCGGAGGGCAGGTGCCACGGTGGGAGCAGTGGTCACAGCCACCTGGTACACAAGGGTGTCCCCGGAGGGCAGGTGCCACGGTGGGAGCAGTGGTCACAGCCACCTGGTACACAAGTGTGTCCCCGGAGGGCAGGAGCCACGGTGGACACAGTAGTGACTGGCTGGGGCAGGGGGTGGGGGTGGGGTGGGTGAGCAGTTTTATCCAGAGAGCTTGTAACCTTCTCAGCTCATCCTCACATACTAATAATGAAGGACACTGTGCGCACCCCCAAGAATGGCGGTCACTATTCATTGTTAAGCCGTGCTTGGATCCCTGGAAACACTTAGGTAAGTCTATTGAACGGATGGATTTCTCCTTGCTCCCACAGCTGAAGTACACACTCTGTGAGGAACACCTCCACTCCCAAGTCCTCTCACCACCTCCTTGACTCCTATTCAACCTTCAGATGGAAGCTCACGTGTTGGGCAAGGCTTCCAGAGAGTCTGCCAACGCCTTTCCTGCTCTTACAGAACTAGTCTTTATTTAAAACACTGCAGTTGGTCATTAGAAGCAGCTAATCAGTTCTTTACAGTGTAAACAGCCAGCACCATCAAAACAAAGCTTGGTATGTTTTTCTCAGCACCCCCATTAACATACCCCGGTGCTACGGTAATTCCTGGTGCACACCAGTCACCTTGAAGGCATTTAGGAAATGAATGAAGTAAGAGCTTAATTTGGTGGCGCACGCCTTTAATCCCAGCACTCGGGAGGCAGAGCCAGGCGGATCTCTGTGAGTTCGAGGCCAGCCTGGACTACCAAGTGAGTCCCAGGAAAGGCGCAAAGCTACACAGAGAAACCCTGTCTCGAAAAAAAAAAAAAAAACCAAAAAAAAAAAAAAAAAAAAAAAAAAAAAAAAAAAGAGCTTAATTTGTCTGCTTGCCCTCACGCCTTGTTCGGCTTCCCGTACACAACACCTAAATTTCTCAGAAGGGCGTCTACTCAGCTCTCCAGTCTCATCCCTAGCGGCCATTCACAAGTCAACCCGGATCCTGTGAAGGCGGTGACACCTTCTCTCAGTAGCCCCTGCTTTGACCATGGCATATCCACCTTGAACTCCACCTTGCTTTTCTGTGTGATCTTCAAGCTTGGGCATCATCTCTCTGCAAGCCCTTTGCTATCCCTCTTTTAGACCGGATGACATGCTTCTCTACCCTTGTGCTCAGAACATGGCCTGTCACAAGACTTACCACTATTTAGTCCTCTGACTGACTGAGTGCTTCTGCTGTTACACTAAGTTCCTTCAAGTCAGGGAGCTAGTCAGATATAAATACGTGGAAGTGGTATGTGCATTTCTGCCACACCTAATCCTCTGCATGGTACTGGACACACAGATGTCTGTGTATTAAGGCATACTTGCTCTCTGCTGAACGAGCACACTGAGGGACTATTTTGCAGATGATTAGTCTGAATCATCTCATGAACTAGAAGTTGCTTAAAGGAAATGAATTTGCTGTTCCAAGTCTCGGGTTACCTTTCTATTATTATATGCTCAAATTACTTCAATGGTATGTAAATACTGAGAAACCAAGCCCTTAGGCAGGTGTCAATCACTTACCAGAAGCATCAGCATGAAGGACCCCATATAGATGATCAGGAAAAAGAGGGAGATCATGGTGAGGGTGAGGATCCCTCGGATCCACCAGTTCTTCCATCTACAAAGAGGTTTATAGAGTCAGTATTCAATAATGTGATTTAGAGCTTTGGGATGTGTGGTTTCAGTACTGAACTCCCAGAGTTGAGCATTTCTCCTGTTCTTTAAGGATATCTTATTTCATTTTATATAATAACAGCAACAGTTAAAATTTTACAATGTGTTAACTGAAGAAAGAAAGTGATTGTTGTCAACTATGAGTGGGGATAAGTCACAAGGATGGGGAGTTACGTGGTCAGCCTAGATGTGGGGACGGGACATCCCAATAGCGATTTTGTGAGGAGGAGGAGGAAGAGGAGGAGCCTAAAGTGAGTCTTGGAAAGGAAGATCCTTGGGAGGCACTGACAGCAGAGCTCCCACCCGGAAACTCAGGGTTTGTTTCTTAGAGCAGAGCATCCCGGCAGCTACAAAGGGCTAGCTCCTGCTACAATGAGGACTGATTTCCCTGATACCTCTGCTTTAAGGACGAGCACCCCCCTCCTCGAATGCTATTCCCTACAATAATATGCTTTGGAGGGAGGGGTCCTTGTACTATTTGATCATGCCATGAGGTACGCTGGTAGATGCTATACAAAAAGCTAAGAATAATTCTAATCCATGGACTGTCATTTGTAGGTCATGTTAGAATCCCTGAGACTGGGTTCAGTGTCACACACCTGTAGTCCCAGCTACTTGGGATGTAATGATGAGAAGACCACTTGAACCCAGGAGTCTGAGGCCAGCCTGTGCAGCACAAGACCCTGCCTACAAACAGATTCTGAAAGCACCTGTATATGGATCATTCCGGGTCCAAACTCTCCGCTGTTTTTCTTTAAGATTGTAGTGATTTTTACCGAATAGGCTTTAGGCCCCACAAAGTGGGAGGATCCCATGAATTCCAACCTCTTCTCCTATGTCCCCTGAGTCAATACATCCTCCATGAGTTTCACTAGCAATCTTCGTAAAACCCAAGGTCCTCAGCTCCATGTGCTGGATGTGTATTGTAAGAATTCAAAGAACATTTGAATACTGAACTGAAGGAATGATTTGTGTAAGGTGTACATTATTCTCTGCACACTGACTCCTCCTTTGTTACACTGTCTGTTGAGGGTATGGCAACAGAATATAAATGCATCTTGTATAGAGCATTTGCTCAGCAAATATTGGATGAGATGCTGAGCCACCCAACAGGTTAATAAAAATATAAGACATAAAGTTAAAAAAGATTCTCAGGCAGGACCAGCAAGATGGTTCCGCAGGTAAAGGAGCTTGCTGTGCAGGCCTGGTGAAGGTGAAAAGCAGGAACTGACTCTAGAAAGTTGTACTCTGACCTCTGACCTCCACACAACAGTGCTTGGCTCATGTGTACATGTGCACATACATAATACGTTTTAAAATAATTTAAAAAAGATTTTCATTAGTTGTCATGGCAAACAAAATCCCTGACAAAAAGCAAATGGGGGTGGAGGGAGACCCAGCATGACGAGAAGGCATGGGGACCTGAACAGCCGTGTCACAGGCGATAAGCAGAAAGCAGAAGGCCAGTGCTTTGCAGGTGTCTTTCTTTCCCCTTTCCACTCAGTCCAAAAGTCCAGCCCAAGGACCATGCTGCCCATGCTCAGGGTGGGGCTCCCTGCTCCGTCAAGCCTCCCGTAACCACATGAGAGTCACACTCCAAGTGTCTAATTAATGCTCTGGGGGTTTGTAAATCTAACCAAACTGACAATTAAAGTTAACCATCACATATGACTTTTATTAGTTCCAATAATGACATTTAATTTATATTGCAAAAGATTTTGATTCAATTTAGTCTAGTTCATGCATTTAATTCTAGGCACAGGTCCTTTCCCTTTTTACAACAGAATTGTTAGCTGATTTCAGCTACTTATAAAATGCTGGCTATATTGCTTGCATTCAACCATTCTCCTACATTATGTGACTGATTTTATTTTTTTATACACATAAAAAACCATGAATCCTAAGTGTAACATTTGTGTGCATGGTGTGTGTGTGTGTGGCACCAGGCTCACACGCAGAAGACCCATGCACTGCACACTAGACAAGCCATACCCTCATCCCCCATCCTGCACAGTTTAAGACACTTCTTCAAATAATCCTTTAGTGTCACTTCTGTACTCAAGGATCCAAAACGTCAACAGCATGAAAACAACAGCTTTTGCTAGCTTCCCAGGTTTCCCTGAGGTACTCAAACTGAGTTTACCTACCATAGTTCCCTCTACTGTTTAGTAAAATATGTAGAATCACAATTTCTCTCCTCGGACTTTGAACTTCAGGCCTGAACTAAGTCAGTGTACAGTCAGAAAATGCAACTGAAAGGTTCTGTTTAGTTTTAAAGACGTTACTCTCTGCAGATTAATGAGTGGATTAGGGAACTGGGCTAAGTCATAAAGCCAGGCAGATGTAAACAAAGGGCCTTAACCCAGCCAATAGAGATAATCCTGTCCTGTCTGCATGAAACCCGGAATCATATGTAGCCTTCCCCTAGAGAAGTATCAGAAGCCAGTCCTGGATGGGAGCTGCCACCATTCAGACGTCATCCGTGTCTGGTCTGAGCTGCTGAGAACCAGAAATATTAGGAAAACATTCACTCTCTTCTCATCATCTTATAATTACAGTCACCACAGCCTGGGCCCTGAAGGAACACACTCTATTTAGCCACTTTTAAAAAAGAGAAAAGTTTTGTTGGCATCTAAATTAATGAGTATCACTGTGATACACTGCTGTTTATGCATATTTTTATACTTAATTTTTAATCCGTCCCCCGTGCCCTCCCCTTCCTCCCCACCCACACATGTGCCCTCCTCCTCCTCTTGTTCCTCCACCCACTCCCTCACACCTGCCCCTCCTCTTTCACGGTCTGTGTGTGTACACACACAGACACACACACACAGACACACAGACACAGACACACACACACACACACACACACACACACACACACACACACACACGACTACTCCCCCTTTCATGGTCCATGCGTACACACACATCCAGAGACACACACGCACACAGGCCCACTCTCGCACACACACCTTCCCCTCCTCTTTCATGGTCTCTGTGTGTACACACATATCCAGAGACACATGTGCACACAGGTCCACTCTCGCACACACAAATTTAAAGCTAGCTTCCACATTTTCTGAGTCTGGCTAATTTTACATAATGCAACAATCTCTGGTTTCATCCATTTTCCCACAAATATTACAATTGTATTCTTTGCAGCTAAACAGAATTTTCAGTGTATGTGCACCACATTTTCCGATCTGTTTATCTGTTGATGACATCGCAGCTACTGTGGACAGAGAGCAAGAGCATCATATGGACACATCTCTGCGTTGTGCTGACTTAAGAGTCCACAAGCACACACCCAGAGTGGTAAAGCTAGGTCACATGGTAGTTCTCTTTATAAAGATTTTTATTATATTTTTATTATGTGTGTCTGTGTGAGGGTACGTGCAGGTATGAGTGCAGGTGTCCATGGAGTACAGGAGGGGGGACTGGATCCCCTAGAGCTGGATCACAGGTGGTTGTGAGCTGTCTGACGTGGGTGCTGAGAAAGAAACCCAAGGCCTCTGAAAGAGCAGTATGTGTTCTCAACCACTGGTCATCACTCTAGCCTCTTGAAAAAAATTGTTACGTTGTATTTATTTTGTGGATTTATTTTTGTGCATGGTGAGAGATAATGGTCTTGCTTAAGAGAAAGAACACCTCACTTCAGGGACAAGGTTGGAAGGATGCATACTCAGGAAGAGGGCATTCAGGTCAGTTCTAGCTCAGGGCCCTCTCAGTCCCTGTTTCTGCACAGTGTCTTCAGGAACAGAGACTTACCTTCACCTCTGGGGCAGCCAAGTCCAGCAGCAATAGGCTGTATGCTCTGGGAGTGTCTTGGACAGCCCTGGCCAACCTTTCAAAGGAGGAATGCTCATGCCTGGTATTGGGGTGTTTGTTAGCTGGCCTTTGTCTCTCGGAGGAAAGCGTCATCAGTCCAGATGAGGAAAATAACTATATATGTAGATTTATACGTGGATTTACATGTATAACAGGGTTTTCTAGTAAACAGTTAATGGTATGACTCCTTGTGGCTTTTCCAGACATCTAGTCGTTATTTTACCCACCTCCCTCCGCATCCTAACCTCTCTTTCCCATCTCCCTGTCCGATCACTTGTATCCTGCTATTCTTCCCTCTTGCATGGAAAGTGCTTAACCACTGAGCCATCTTTCTTGCCCCACTGTGGAAAGTTCTATTGAGGATCTCTGTGTCTACAGTCCTCAAGAAAACGTGGCCCCCAATTTTCTTTGTTCTTATCTCATTTGGATATCAATATAATATTTTGTTCGAGTTCCTTTCATGGAGCAGTTAGAGGGATATTAGAAGTTAGTTCTTTAAAAGTTTGGTAGAATTCGGTGGTGAATGCACTCACTTCTGGGCTCTTCTATGTTAGCAGACTTCTTTTTTTTTTTTTTTGGATTTTTTCGAGACGGGGTTTTTCTGTGTAGTTTTGGTGCCTGTCCTGGATCTCACTCTGTAGACCAGGCTGGCCTCGAACTCACAGAGATCCATCTGGCTCTGCCTCCCCAGTGCTGGGATTAAAGGTGTGTGCCACCGCTGCCCAGCTGTTAGGAGACTTTTAATGACTATTTTCATCTAATAGCTTGTTGGTCTGTTGTGTCTAAGAATGTATCCACTTCTTTGAATTTTCTGGTTTTTCTGAAGCACAAGTTTTGAAAGTGTTCCCTGGTCACCCTCTTGATTCCACTGGAATCTGATGAATCTCCCATTTTTACCTCTGGTTTTATTATTCTCTCTCTCTCTCTCTCTCTCTCTCTCTCTCTCTCTCTCTCTCTCTCTCCCTCCCTCCCTCCCTCCCTTCCTCCCTCCCTCTCTCATGGTTAATTTGGCTAGGGGTCTATCGACATTTACCAGTTCTTATAAAGATCCAATTCCAGCTCTGACTCTACATCTCTCTTTAATCTCCGCTGTGTTAACTTCTGCCTTGGTCG